CAAAGATTTACAGTTCAAACAAACAATTTATTTGCATTGGACCTGCGCTTGAATCACACAGTCACGGCCGGAGAACAACACCGGCAGCGCTTCTTTCTGCACGCTAGTCGGCGTGATGTAGCCAATTTCCTCCGCCCTGCAACTTCAGACGTCTAAATCAAACGAAAAAGAATCACACAAAGAACACACTTTTATGTAAACCAAAAGTTTAACATAACCCATCACGAATTAAAAACATTCCAAAGCTATCCTAATCTTAACCGAAAATCAATCAAGGAAAGCAAATAACTCGCCGGTGCAAAATGTGCTCCGGCACGTGACCTCGACATAGCTCCCGTAGAGTTAGCGTAGGGCAATCGATTTTTGTGGTCTCAACGTCGGTGGCGCCAACGCAATTGGAGCCGCGAGATGCAGATACAGAGAGCGGGTCTATCATACGGTTCGTGCCGTTAGAATACGGCCAAAACGTAGAGTTAGGGCGAGCTGAAGAAGCAGAGAGTGGTTTGTTCGAGGTCAATGGGAAGGAATTCAGGTGTAGCGCAGAGGAACACGCCATGGATATCGGCCGGAGTTTATCCAGTGAAGGACGGAGAGAAAAATAAACGAGGAATGTAACCGAGGAGGAAGAGATACCTACTAGTTTTCACACCCTGCTACACAGGTGTTTAAAAAATAAATATTTGTACAACAAAAATTGAATAATAACTAAAATAATTTAGGGATTGGGGTTTGTAATCGTGTAATCATCAGGATACTTGATCTAACGGTTAAAAACTCCGACGAAATGGTTCTGTAACCGACCGTAGCATCTCACAATAATTTATATTCTTATTGAGAATTTTATAAAAATTAAATATAACGAATAAAAAAACCTAACATAATAATAGTTATTTAAAATTATTTAAAGCAACAATTGTGATTTATACTCAAACTTTCAAAAAGAAAAACAATAATGTTTTAATCACATTTATGAAATTATGAATTTTTTTTGAAATTATATATATCTAAAATATGCTATTCATAATTTCTTATATTTTAAAACAAAATTCAAACATTATCATATGAATCTTTTAAATATGTCCCCTATTTTACAATATGGGTCAAATTAATTACGAATATGCCTCGTATGAATCTTTTAAAATATATCTCATATAATTTACTATTACTTAAATTTCACTTCAATATATTTCTCACTAATTTCTATGGGCATAAGAAATGAAAGAAATAATTTTATGGTAAGTTAAACTTGACATAGTAAAAAAAAACATGCTATTATTAGTAATGTATGGAACATTTTTTGTCATTGTATAATAGGTGGCAAAGGGGTAAATTGCACCAAACCCCCTGTAATATACTAAATCTGCGCGTTTTCCCCTCGTAATTTAAAAATTGCGTC